GCGTCCCTGGTTGGCAATACTCCATGAGAGCTGGTGTACACCGTCACGGGGAGGAGCCATATGTCGTAGGGCTCCATGGGGAGAGGATGGCTGGCAGCCCCTAGCAGAGCCGGCTTTCTCCTGGATGGCCCCGCCCTGTGCATCTTGTCCTATTGCTGACCTTCACCGGTCCCTTACTTGTCATTATTGTAGCCGTGTGTCCGACAGCTTTACTCACCTCTGTGAGTCCTTAGAGGGAACTCTTGAGCCTGGGGGTGGTTGGAGACTTCGGGAAGGCCCCAGGTGCAGGACAGGCTCCAGGTGGGCCCCATGTCCCTCCTCTGCTCCTCACGCCTGTCTCACGCTGACCTCTTATGGTCTTATTTAATTATCATGTCAATTTCATGTGGCAAGCTTTTTATTCTAGTCTGTTTGAAACTCACAAAAAAGCAATCCTGAAAGAAGAAACCTCCAGGTTTCCCAGCAAAGCATTCGCTAGAGCATCACACAGGCTTTGACAGCACTGGAAACAAGGCGGCCTTCTTACAAGCCATCTGATAGCAACACGTGGCATACGTGATGGTTTGATTTCAGCTCAAGCCCTGGGGTCAGCCTTGGTTTTGTGGGCTGTGCGGGCATGTTGGTCTAAGCATCGACTCCTGTTTGGAAGGAGGAGGTGACCCTGTTCTGAGCCTCAGGTATGGCACTCACTCAGGGTCGCTCCTTGACTGAGGATCCACTGTCAACAGGCACCGAAACACCTAAGAGTTACCTGGAGGGCGGGCTTGCCTGGGTGGCATTAGACATGGAAGCTCCGGGTCAGGGAAGGGCACAGAGAGGAACCCGCAGGGAGAGTCAGCAGGGGGCTTGCCAGCAGGAAGGGACTGTTGTTTTGGAGGCAGAAATGAAGATGGATGAGGTCACCGCACCTTAGAAAGGTTTGGGGGGGAATGTCAGCCTTCGACTTCTCAATAGGCTTTAACGCCAGGATCTGGCCTAACCCTCCCCTTTCCTGGCGCCCCCTCTGATCCACATTCTGCCTTGGGGGTGGTGTGTGTGTGTGCATGTGTGAGTGTGTGAGACGCTTCTGGAAGCAGACGCACCTGAGCAGCGCTGTTGGCTGTAAAGTGCCCATGTAGCGTCCCTGGGGCTCCCGGGACCCAGTCCTCCTCATTTCCCTTCCACTGTCCTTTTTCCATCACAGCTGTGCTGCGTGTTCACCAACAGTATCTGTTGCTGGCTGCTTTTATTACAGAAATTAAGAAGATAGGTCAAAAAACTCTTGGATTGCCAGGTGTGGTGGCACAGGCCTGTGGCCCCAGCTCTCAGGAGGCTGAGGCAGGAGGATCGCTTGAGCCCAGGAGTCTGAGTCCAGCCTGGGGAGCAAAACCCCATCTCTAAAAACAAAAAAAAGCCCCAAAACATAAACAAAAACCTCTCTTGGATTGACCAGTGATCAATTTGTTACACATTACCCTATAAAAATTCACAAATCCTTATGCCTGGTTCAGCCCCAGCTTATGTTTATTTACCTGTGTATTTCTAAAAACCCTCAAGAGCAACCACCCTAAACTATGACCAGGAAGCCCTGGAAGTAGAAAAACAGGAATTACAGAGATCATGCAGTTTTTATGTGCCCCCGCCCCCACCCCCACCCCCAAGTTCTGTGGAATTTACATCATGCTTTTTACACGCAGCAGAAAGTCTTATGACAGTAGGGGGCACTTGGCTTCCAGTCAGTTTGGGCTCATCTTGGCACCTCTATGCCTATTCTCTAAAAAAGGAGCTGAATTAAGCTTAATGGATTTCAAACTTTTTGACAGTGGAATCCATTTTTTTTCCTTATATAAAACCACAAATGTTAAATAAGAGCTGAATTTTTACAGAGGCTAATATGTTGGTGGTCTCCAAAGTGCTGAAATTTAGCATGTTTGTTTAAAAAATTTTTAAAGTTTTGGTCAGGCATGGTGGCTCACGCCTGTAATCCAAGCACTTTGGAGCACAAGGTGGGCGGATCACCTGGGTTCGGGAGTTCAAGACCAGCCTGACCAACATGGTGAAACCCCGTCTTAAAAAAATA